AAAGTCGACAAGCTCAGTGACAGGGCAGACGCAGCAGACGACTCGAAGGAGGGGTCAGTGACAGCAGTAGCCAGGAGACGCGTGACAGTAGGACTGGCAGCACGAAGGGCGTCCGACTCCGGGTCGGCAAGAGCAGGAAGGAGAGGAAGCAGGAGGAGAAGGCAAAGGGGCACGCAGGGAGCAGTGGACGGACGCAGGGACATCCGGTGCGTGCCAGGGACAGGAGGAGGACGCTGACGCGACCCGCGACCACTAGCGCGCTCAGTACGAACAGGCGACACAGGACGAGACGCAGGCTCACGACGCTCAGTAAGACCTCCAGTCGGACCAGCGTAGGGAGAAGGAGGCAGGCAAGGGAGGCAGGCTATCTAGCTGTGGCTGTGACCGGACAGGCTGCGGACCCTCTAAGGGGAGGAGGAGGGGTGTAAGACCAAGAACCTGCTGCAGGAGCGGAACGAAGTACGGTCGGGGCCGCGCGTCGACGCTAGAACAGCAGAACAGCACCAGCAGCCCCGGCAGGAGCACCCACTCCAGTAGCACCTCCATCAGCACCAGCCAGAAGCTCCAGAACCTCTCAGCCGCAGCACCAGGAGCACTGTCAGTCGGGGCCGCCAACGGAGGCTCAGCACCACCCCCTCAGGCAGGGACCAGCTCCAGGAGAACTTCTCGGACTCAGCAGCTTTAGGCACCCACAGTACGAGCGGCCGGCGGGGCGCGCAGCAGCAGTACCCTCTGCAGCCGAAGAACCACCAGCACCAGCAGCACGCCTCCAGCGCCATCGGCAAACACTCACGCAGCTCCTGTGGGAGAGTGGCTCCCGGCGAGACGAAGCACCCCCCAGGCACAGCACCTCCCAGGCTCAGCACCCCTAGACACAGCACCCCCAGGCACGTCACCCCCAGGCTCAGCACCCCCAGGCTCAGCAACCCCAGGCTCAGCACCCCCAGGCTCAGCACCCCCAGGCACAGCACCCTTAGACTCGGCACCTCCATGCACAGCACCCCCAGGCTCAGCACCCCCAGGCTCAGCACCCCCAGACTCGGCACCTCCAGGCAGCACCCCCAGACTCCGCACCCCCAGGCTCAGCTCCCGCAGCAGCACCAGAGTCACCAGTGACCTCGACAGGCTCGCGACCGCGTCTACCTGGGACAACCTGAAGGGGCAGGACCCTGAGGGGGGAGGGGGACTACGGGGGGGGACCTGGTACCAAGAAGAGCGGGGGTGGGGGGAGGGACGGAGTGCGGTAGGGGAAGAGGCGGTAGTAGGGTACCGACTCGTCGAACGTGACGTCCTGGGAGGACAGAACACGTCGAGAGTTGGGGGTGGTAAAACTGCCACCCAGGGCGTCGGGGGGGAACCCCAGGAAGACGCAGGGAGAAGCACGAGGGGATAGCTTGTCCGCAGACAGGTCGCGAACAAACGCCCGAGATCCCCAGACCCGCAACGCCGACGCATCGCCAACCTTCCCCGTCCACAGCAGGGCTGGGGAGGTCTCCGGTCGAGAGACCCTGGGGTGGAGGTTGAATCTGGTGCGCAGCGTACCTGACCGCAAACGGCCACAGAAATGGGAGGCAGCCGCATGCATCATGGACGTACGAGCGACGTCCCCCATGCCAATGCGGTCGTTGCTTTAGCATTCTCACTGCGGTGGGGGTGGCGTAAGGTCTGACGGATGCCTCGCGCAACGACAGTAGGCACTCAGGAGGCCAGAGAGAGAACTCTCCGCCTCTGTCCGAGTGCAGTACGCAAAACAGGGAAGTCAGAGCCAAAGCTCCTCCGAAGCTGGGAGACGAGCTGCGCGGATCCAGTCGATCAACACCCAGTGACCTCACCCTTGCTGCGCAAGGGGAAGACTGTGGTGTAACGCGAGTAGTCGTCAACCACCAGCAGGAAGTAGCGCTCCTGACCCTGTCCACGGACGCGGGCTGGGCCCCACACATCCATGTGAAGCGTCTGCAACGGGGCCTCTGTCGGAGGAAACTGTGGAGGAGTGAGGGCAGCACGCTGGCGGCCCTCGACACAGGGGACACAGGTGGGGCCAGGGCCCGGAGGAAGGGAGGGAGAGACCGGGGAAGACCAGACACAAGGACTCGCGCGGGCTATGCCTCTGAGCCGAAGCAGAGAGGGTGGTGCCAAGGCGGTGGTGCCAGAGGAGGGTCTCGTGAGACAAACGACGGCACGAGAGCAGGGGGCAGACTCAGGACCAGACCTGGACGCTGCGCAAACACCTGACCAGAACGAAGTGACCCTACCAGACTCAGCACCTGGAGGAGAAGCAGTGTCAGAGTGTACAGGTCGACCCTGGCCGACGTGTAACGTAGCCAGGTGGCGACCTGTATCCGCCTCCGTGCAGTGGGTCACCCGCTGACGAGCAGGGGTGAACTGGTGGACACCCGCATCCTGGAGGTCAGCACCACTCACCACAGTTCGTCGAGAACGAGGGGAGGTAGAGACCAGTTAGGGTGCCAGAGGGGGCCGCCGGACACGGGAGGCAGTGGAGAAGCGAGACAGGACAGGCCCCCCAGAGGGGTCAGCCAGGGACACCGCAACCCCGACTCAGCGGCGTGAGAGTGGTGCGGTCCCGAAAGAAGGAGCGAGACGCTCCAGAGTCAAGGGTGAAGGTGTTGAGGCCGAAGCCGACACAGTACCTGAGAGGGCAGACTCACCAGCACCTGAGAGCACAGACGCACTGGCACCTAGAGCAGCAGCCTCACTAGTACCTGACGCGGCAGTACCAATGCCCGGGTCGGGCGGGAAAACACCGGTAACAGTCATCCTCATCACTACCAATCGCAGCATACATAGCAGAGAGAATAGCATCAAAATCAAGATCATAAATAGCTACACCCACCTAGACCAGCTCTCCCCAGCGGGGGATCTCAGCTGCCTCGGAAACTTGCTGACGCCAGGCGTCAGTCAGGCGGCCAAAGCAGCGGCGGGCAGTGTGGGCGCCTCCACACCTCTCCCCTGCACGGTCACCGGTGCGGAGAACGTAGTAGGGGCAAGGAGACCAAGCGCACCACCACGCTGACGCTGCGAGTACCACTCACGGAGCTGCTGAGGGGGCGGGGACGGTGCGAGAGCGCTGCTGCTGCTGTGGCTGCTGCTGCGGCTGCTGCTGCTGTTGCTGCTGGCGCTGAACAGCCCCGGAGCTGCTCCGCTGGGACGAGCCACTCCGACCGCCCGCCTCCACTGCCACCCCCCCCGCCTCCACCGCCACCCCCGTCTCCACCTCCACCTCCCCCACCAGGACCGTCGCTCCCACCGCTCCCACCGCCTCCTCCGCTACCACCTCCGCCGCCACCTCCGCCTCCACCGCGCCGCCACCAGTACCTCCACTTCCGCCACCACCCCCACCGCCACCCCCACTCCCCCCACCCCGCCACCTCCACCGCCTCCTCCACCCCCCCTCTATCTCCACCCGCTCCCTTGCCCCCCTTGCCCTTGCCAGCGCGGCGTCTGCCGCTGGGGGCAGACGCCGCGCCGACGACTCAAAACCAGTGAGTCGCCCGCAGCGGCAGAGGCGACAGAGGGCAGCAGGGGGAAGGAACCACACCCCTCAAAGATAGGGGTGCGAGGGTCACCCCGAGAGGCCCCTACAGCGACAATACTCTTCTCAGCCGCTAGCAGGGACTCCTCAAGGAGGTCGACAGTGAGATGGTGGGACAGACAGAGAGAACTGGTCCTACGAACGAAAGGGACTCAGGGAACGGTGACGAGAAGTAGAGAGTGATGTACATGGGAGGAGGGTTCGCAGCGCGGACTCAGCAGGAAGGGCAGCGCGGTAGCGGGTGTCACTAGTACGGAGGTGGGTAACGAGGTCAGCGACAGTGGGAAAGGAAGCGAGGTCAGGGAAGAGAAACGGTAGCATGAGGCGGCTAAGGGTAGCGGAGGAAGGGGAGGAGTAGCGTGCAACTACAGCGTCGTACAAGGCCTGAGCGGTCTTGCACTGACTAAGTGGGCTACGCTCAGAGGAAGGGAGGTGGCGACGCACAGCAAGACGTGCAGCAGCATCGCGGTCGCCCACTTGGAGCGAACGGCAGAGTCAGCATCAGCAGGTGGGGCAGGGACAAGCGCCAGAGACAAAGTCAAAGAGAGAGACCTCATCTGTCGCATCACACAGTAAGTACAGCTGCAGGTCTTCAATCCAGACGGCAAAGTCAAATGCCCTCCCCTCAGCGTCAAGGTAAGAACATTGGGGGTGGCCATGACAGCAGCTGAAAATCTCACCGGGCTGGGAGAGGCGGGTAGGTCAGCAGCAGAGGAACAGCAGCACGGCTCCGCAGGCGCTCGGGCGGCGCGGGCGCTCGGCGGCGGCTCGGGCGGCGGCCTCGGTGGCGGTTCGGCGGCGGCTCGGCGGCGGCTCTGCGGCGGCTCAGGCGGCGGCGGCTCGGCTGCGGCTCGGCTGCTGCTGGCGGCGCGGGCGGCTCGGGCGTCACGGGCGGCTCGGCGGCGGCTCTGGCTGGCGGCTCGGCGGCGGCTCGGGCGGCGGCTCGGCGGCGGTTCGGCGACGGCTCGGCGGCGGCTCGGCGGCGGCTCAGGCGGCGGCGGTTGCTGCTTGGCGGATCGGCGGGGGCCGCGTAGCAGAGTGGCGGCGGGGCCCCGACCGAAGAGAGCGGCGGGGCCGCGTAAGCGTAGCAGGGGCGGCGGGGCCGCGTAGCAGAGGGCGGCGGGGACCGCGTAGCAGAGGGCGGCGGGGCCGCGTAGCAGAGGGCGGCGGGGCCGCGACCGAAGAGAGCGGCGGGGCCGCGTAGCAGGGGGCGGCGGGGCCGCGTAGCAGAGGGCGGCGAGGCCGCGTAGCAGAGGGCGGCGGGGCCGCGATCGAAGGGCGGCGGGGCCGCGTAGCAGAGGGCTGCGGGGCCGCGTAGTAGAGGGCGGCGGGGCCGCGTGGCAAAGGGCGGCGGGCCCGCGATCGAAGGGCGGCGGGGCCGCGTAGCAGAGGGCGGCGGGGCCGCGTAGCAGAGGGCGGCGGGGCCGGCGTAGCAGAGGGCGGCGGGCCGCGCGAGGCAGAGGGCGGCGGGGCCGCGTAGCCGAGGGCTGCGGGGCCGCTAGGGAAGGGCGGCGGAGCCGCGAGGGGAAGGGCGGCGCAACGGTCCGCTAGGGGCGACACGACGGGTCGCTAAAAAAAAAAACGCGCCCTCGGGGCGCGGTTCGGTGGGCCTAGAAAGCAGTCCCTAGGAGGGAACCTGCTCTGATTCCATGTGGAAACAAAGAACGAGAATGAAATGACTATGAACGAAGTGAGTACAAATAGGAAACCCTAATTGGGTTGTACCCCCTATGGATACCCCACTATAGCCTACAGAAACAAGTAAGCTATAAGTTCTGACACCCCCCTCCACTCCAACCTGCGGGCGCCACTCCCCGTGCCCCGCGCTCGCGCGCCCAGAGCTGGTGCTGTTGGAAGACAAGCAAGAAGGGAAGAGAGGGATGAAGGGAGGCGCAGCGTACAGGGCGACATGAGTGGTGGGCGTTGGACCAGGAGCGGAGGGGAGGATAAGCAACGCCCCAGCCCAAAACCACAATGAGGTGATCACGAGCGGTCATTTTTTGGCTCCTCAGCAGGGCTGGGAAGTAGGAGTAGCAGAATAGCGGGAGACTTGGGAGGAGAGCATTGCTTCTTAGCATGGCAGGAGGTCAGCTGATTATCATGGAAAGAGAGCAGCCGCTTAGCATGGGATGGAGAATCAGGGTGTCCATGATGCGAGCATGGATGCATGGCATGCATGACGTGCGAATGGATGGATGCATGGAGATACCCTGTGCGCAGTACTACTGCTCCGAGCTTTCAGTCCCTTTTGCCACCCCTTTGCCACGTGGACGCTTGAACGCCACGTATGTGAAGGTGAATAGTGGACAAACAAATGCCACGTGGACCAATCAGATTTCGGGACGCATATTGGTGCATACAATATATTTGTGCAGACAGTTGAGTTAAGCATGTACATCTAGAAATTTATATTAGTATACGTACATTTTTATATACAACAGACCTATGACAAAACGCCCTAACACCATAATCAACATGATCTGGCACAACTAAATAATCTAACTGCAGGTACTTCAACAAAATCAAAACATTTACGCCCTTTCAACCACTTGAGCCTGGAGTTCTGAACACCACGTAAAATCAGAAACACAATCCAACGAAGACAGGGAGTAGTACCTGCAAAACATGATGTTAGCCAGGCGAGTACAAATTTAGTAGTAGACATACCTGCGGCCACTTACCTGTCTGCCGCACTGGACTACGAATACTTGTGCCGTTTGATAAGTCAACATGTTTACGAAATATATCGACATAAATACAATGTCGCGCAAATGAGGTGCACACCACACGACGTTAAGAAAATACACATCTGCACACAAATCGACATAATCCGACCAAGTCAGAACGCACTCCCAGCGTTGCCCTCCTCCCGTCCGTGCACAGCACGGTACGTCATGAGTTAGGCAAACAAAAAAAAAACAAAAAAAAAAAACAAGATGTCGACGTACCGATAAAGGACCGTCTTAGTGACTCCGAACACCCGTTGTATGGTTGTAAAACGGCTCCCGACCTCCTCAGTTTAATTTGGAATTCAACCTGGACAACGGCACAAGGAAAAGAAAAAAATGACGCAATAAGACTTTAGGAGAAAACGAGAACACTTAGGGAAGATAGATCTGATCGTGGCAGAAAAGATTGATGCAAAGAAGAGCAGCGCGCCTAGTATTAGAAAAAAACGCAAAGATTTGAGAAGAACAAGAGCAAAAAATGAGACTCTAAGCTAGGAGGAGGTAGAAGAAGGGTTGGTTTGGAGCACATTCGAGAGGTTCTAGGTTCAGAGCTGACGTGGAGATAAGGAATCATGCTGATTGGTGGGCTTAGGTTTGTTTCTCACATCGAATGGTTCAGAACCACAAGATGTGGAATCAGCAGGGTTTTGGTTGGCGACGTTACCAAATTCGGGAAACACAGTTGGCGTGTAACATTCGCGTGCTGCTTGTTGATTGGTCGTTTCGATTTCAGATCGGAGAAATTTCAGTCACACATGTAACATTTCGTCGGCTGTGCGAAATTGCCGCTGACCTTAACTCCCTAAACCGCAATGTAACGCTCTTTAAACGACGAGACCACAAGTGGGTGTGCACATTTGAGGGTGAAAGTGATGACATTTCTGTAGCTATTTTTTGTTGCGCCATACAGGTGACATTCTCGCAACTTTCACACTGGTGTTTTTCCTAAGGTTTTCCTCGGCTTTTCCGCAAGAAAAGCTACCGTGTACATTTTGTGCCCACAGAGATTTTGCGATGTTCCATCCAATCGCATCCATTCCATCATCGAAATCTCTTTCCATCCGATCCCATCCATCCCATCCTCTCCGTCCCATCCCATCCTTTCGAATTCTCCCATTTTTTCGCATCGCATCCCAACCGTTCCATTCCCATGATTCCAACCTTTGCATCTATCTCATCCCTCCCAGCCCCATCTTTCTATCATCCATCTTGCATCCCATCCGATCCTTTCTATTCCATCTCACAAACTTTCCATCCTGTCAGATTGTTTCCATTCCATCCCATCTGTTCCATTCCATCCCCATCCTTTCCGTCCCACTCCATCCTTTCCATCCTATCCTACTATTCCGTCCCCATCCCATCCGTTCCATCCCATCCATTCCATCCCATCCTTTTCATCCCATCCATCCTTTCCTCACATTCCATCCTTTCGACATGACCGCCTCGTGCAAAGTTTTCAAGCAATCTGCAACGCCACGGCACCCCCTTACGCCTCCGCTTCCAGTCTTGCCTTTTTTTCATCTCACCGTTTTCTTACCCCCTCCCACTATCGAGTCACGTTGTATCACGTCTATCCATGCAACGGTTTGCTCAGTGTGCACGGGGAGGCTCGAGGCGAGGAACGCCGCAAAGAGAAGAAAACACATCGCTTGAAAGCAGCGCTTCGCGCGTCTACATCAGCATCCGTTTGCACGGCCTTCGTCTATCAGCGCTAATAGATGCTTGCGCAGCGCGCCGAGCCCCGAGGCCCTTCGATCAACAGTATGGCTGTTGAGTGCAAATTCACATTGCGCGACATCCTGCGTCTGTTTGTACGAGTATGCGTGTGCGAATGCATTTGCGTGTGAATGGTATGTTCGTCTGTTTTTGTTTGCTTTCGCAATTCCGCTTGAAGCATTTGCAGTACTTGCATAATGTGCGCTTCGGCACAACATTGTACGCGCTATGACCAGTGCAAGCAGAAGGACGAGCTCGCAAAGGAACCCAAGATGGAAGCTTTGCAGTTCGGTTGAATTGATTGCGCAGATTCAGTTCTATCCAACTTGTAATTGTACTGTTTTGTTTGGTTAACTATAGTGTAGCAGGGAAGGCACTATAGGGGTACAATTTAGGTGAAGGTTGGATGTTGTTTGTCTGTATCTGCATGCTACAAGGCCAAGGGAAACCAGCGGAACCAGCATTTGGCTGGTTGGGCAAAGACAAAACAGGTTTTGTTTTTAGAACCTGAATCTGGTTGTTGTTTTCCCCGGTTGGAAAAACAGAACCAGAGTTGTGTTTTCCAACCTACCACCTGCTGTTTTGTCCAGCCAGGTTAGTTCTGTTGCTTGGAATTATTTGGGATCATCCCTGGTTGTTCCCAGGTTGATTCCCAAGGTCCTTGCTAGCTAGAACTATTATTCCTTCTCTGTTTGTACTTCAATATAGGCAATTTGATTCAAGCAAATTCCTCCCTTCGTGAATTTCGTTTCTACGCGGTGCGACGGCGGAACGCTACCCGAGTCAACGCTAGTACGCTAGCACTCCAACACTAGGCAAACGCTGTCCGCGCCATAACTTCGTAATGGCAGAACTTTTCGCGAGGCAACTTGGTTCATTTTAAAGCTCTTGGAGCGAGCTTCGATATAATAAATTCTCAGCTTAATCCGATCAACGGTCTGTACGATACGCTGCGCGACGTTCAAGGTACTCTTGCTGTTTTGACTAAGTCCCTCTTGATCCCTCTCTCTACAAACTCGGACCCGAGGATAGGGGCTCGTCTTGTACCAGGCACCCAAGGATCCTTAGAGGTGATCCCGAGGAGAGGTTTTAAGTTTGATAAAGTCTTAATA